GGGAGCAGCTTCTCCCAGCCAGTGGCTCCGAGGGCGCAGAGGAGCTGAGAACCCCCCTGGGGCTGCAGCGAACGTGGGGCAGAGCCATGCCAGCGCCTCCAGCAGCAAAGCACAGCCCTGAGCCCATCCTTGTGCTGTGTTTCAGCCATTCCCAGTGCCCACAGGTCCTGTCAGAGCGCTGCGCCTCCACAACCCGCATCCAGCATCCTCCAAACCGCCTCCTCTGGGGCTGCATCCCCCCTCCTTGCCCACGGGGTGTGGGGCAGCACAGTGTAACATGGGCTCATCCCAAAGGGGCACTGGAGGCTCACGACCCCATGCGTGGGGACCCCCAGATAAGGTGGGAGATGGATGCGCCGCCCTATGGCTCCCCAGACCCCCCACCACCACCCAGAGAACCCAAAAGCAACCTCCACCAGCAGCCCCTCCGAGCTGGGGGTCCCCACCCCTCCAGTCCTTACCTTGGAGGGCGAATGCACCGCCGACTCGGGGGGGTAAACGATGAAGTGGCGGAGGGTGAAGCCAAACCCCCCTCCCTGGGTGCTCTTCCGCAGCACCACCGTCTTCGGGCCCCCCCAAGGAAAGGCCCCCTCCAGGGGCGCGTTGTCATTTGGGGACGCCCCATCTCTGCGGCCCGGCGTCGGCTATGGGGACAATGGGGAGATGTCACATTCAGGGGCAGATGTCACACAGTGCCCCGTGCTGGAAAGGCAGTGATCTGCCCCTAAGAAAACCCCTCCTGACTTCCAGCCCCGCTGCATGAATGGCAGCACCCAAAGCCCCCCCAACCCTCGCCACTCTCCCAAAGGGATGCTGTGGGAGAAGGGAAAATAAACAGGGGGGGGCTGGAATGAGTTTGGGGTATGGATGAGACCTGGAAGGGGACAGCAGGGGGGAGGATGAGTGCAGAAAGCAGGGAATGCAACATGTGGGGTTGTGCCAGTGAGACAACCAAGGAGGGCACGGGTGGGGGGAGGCTGCATGGCAAAGAATGGAGATGTAAGGTGAGCAAAGGGGGGCAGCACAGCCACGGTGGGGGCAGTGGGGCAGAAAGTTTGGGTTTGCAGCAGGGAAATCTCCGCATTTTGAGGCTGCACGTCTGGCTGCTTATGGCACATGTGGATGCACAGGGCTCTGCTATGCATCCCCCGTGCAGCAACGAGGAGCAGGAGCACATTTCATGTGCTCCAGGAGCAGTGAGTGCTGCCCTCGGGTTGGGCTCCTTCCCTGCCAGCCCCGCTCACAGCACAGCACAGCACTGCATGTGGGGTTTGACCCCCTCACCCCCCCCCTCCATGGTGTTCCAATTCAGACTCTGTATCCTGGTGCTGAGGTGATGAATGGGGAGAGATGAGGCAGAAGCCAGGCGGGGAGGGAAGAGGGACACAAAGGGCCGAGGCACAAAAAGCCTTTGTCTCTGCCTGTGCTGAGCACGGCCTTTTTGCTGCTGGTGGGTAAATGGGGCTCCCTGCACCCCACGCTCGGTGCCGGTGTGGGGCTGGGGGTCCCTCTTGATGGGGTAAAGGTGGGCAGCCCCAAAACCTCCACCAAAGGGCTCTTATGCCCTCCAGCAGCAGCAGCCCCAACGACACAGGGAGCACCTGGGGACGCCCCAAGAAGCAAAGAGCTGCGATGCTCCAATGGGGAGAGCCTGAAACCACATCAAGGCCACAACCCCAGCCCCCCCCCCCCCCCCCCCCCCCCAGGACCCCGAGCCCTCCCTGCACCACAGAGACACCCAACTTTTGACAGCAGCGGGTGCCCCGCTGCCACAGGGACCCCAGGCTGCCCACAACCCCCCACCCAAGGACGCCCGTCCCCATCTGCGCCCTCCATTGTGTCGGCCGCCGGCACGCTGGATTATTTTTAAGCTGACAGCTGAATGTGCCCCGCTGATGGTAAGCAGCACAGACAGCACTCTGAGCAGACACCGACGGCAGCACCGACCCACTGCCATGGGGACACACAGCCCGGTGTCACAGCCGTGGCAGAGCCCTGTGCCCATGACACAGGGATGCATCACCGTTTGCCCATTACAGAGCACTCAGCGCCAGCAGCAGCTGCTCCGTGCCCCCCGGGACTCCCCCCAGCAATGCTCCCCCCCCCCTCCCCAATAGCATCCTGCCGGCGCTGGCACATCACCTGGAAGGACAGCAGGGAGGACAGAAGGGGGCTTCCCCCCTGCAGCCCCCCACAAACCCATTGTGCAGAGCGCATGGATCCCATGCAACGAGACGCTGCAGCTGCAGCCCATCACTCAGCTCCAGTCCCACGAGCCTGCATTCACCATTGCAAAAGAGCCGCAGGAGATGCGCTGCATTGCAAACAGCCCTCCTGGGCTGCTCTGTCTGCGCTGCTTCCGTCCCCACGTCCCACATTTGCTTGGGGACAGCCCTGTGGGGACGCAGCCTCTGGCCCTGCTGCCAAGGATGGGAACAAGGGGTGGGAGCACATCCTGCTCGCTTCACCCCAGGAGAACCCCCAGCCCCTCAGCTCCCACTCCCCACGCAGCCCACCGTGCTGCAACCAGCCCTTATCACTGTCACCTCCTTCTTCCCCAGCCTGAAGCTTTTGGGGCTGCGAAGCCTCAACCGCACACTTGGACGCATCACCCACAGATCTGTCATCTCAGCCACGGGTCCCCTCTCCCAGCAGGGATTCGTGCTGTCCCCACACTTTGGGATGTGCTTTGATCCACAGCCCCGAGCCTTCCGCTGGGCTCCAATCAGCTGGCCCCCCCCCCCTCCAAACCCAAAGCAGGGGGATGCGGGGGGAGGGGGGTGAATCCGTGCTGCCCACCCCAACTCTACGCCCTCACTCACTCCCAGCACTCCCACCTCGGGGACAGGCAGCTGCCACAGACGTCCCACACCCCACTGAGCCCTCCTGGGGGGCACATCACGCCCCCCCCCCCTTCCCCCGGGGCCATGCACCACAGGACAGCATGTGGGGCACGCAAGGCCAAGCCCACCCCTCCCTCTACCCCACGGTGCTCACCCGATGGCCTTTGGCTGTGCGTGGGGCCGCGGGGCCGTGCGGTGCTCCGGGGGGGCGGCTGGGGGGGGGTTCCGGCCGCACACCTCCTAACGCTGCTCAGCCAAATGCAGCGCGGTTCTGGTGAGCTGCAATCCACCCCGACGGCGCGTTCGCAGCCCCAGCCCTTCCCGGATCGTTCCACGCTCCATAAAGCTTTGCTCACCACCGCTACGGGGTTAGGGGTTGGGGGGGGTCCCCGTGCCGCCCTGCGGAGCCCCCTCTGCCCTCCGCCCTCCTCCACCATCGTGCGGGGCCGCGCTCCGTCCCGCTGCCGAGCGCTGCTGGCTCGTAGGGCGGGGGCCTGGAGTGGGGGTGGGGGGGGGGACGACAACGTAGGGGGAGGCTCCGGCTCCGGCTCCAGCTGCTGGCAGCGCTCAGCGCCCAGCCCCACGCTGCCCCCCCCGTTTCCTCCCCCCCCAACCCCAAGTTTTGCTTCACGTGCACTTTCCCTTTCATTTTATTTTATTTTATTTTTTCTATCCACCCCCCCTCCTTCCTACACCACCAACACCCCCCCCCCCGCCCCCGGGCGGCATCCCAACCCCCGCTTCCTCCTCTCCCTCATCCCAGCCTCTTCCTTCCTTCCTCCTCGCACCGCAGCGCTCCGGGCGGTGCTGGGGATGATGTGACAACGCGGGGTGCCCCCACCAACCCCTCTGTGCCCCCAGCAGGGGGATCCTGGACAGCAATTAAGCCATCTCTCCAAAAACACAGCGATGCCAGCTCTGTTAGGGAGATGATCCGGGCAGCGTCGCCCCCCCCAGGACCTGGGGATGGGGGGAATGGGAGGGGTCTCACTGCACCGAGTGAACGAATTGCCCTTCTCATCCCCCATTATGGCATCAAAGATATGGAAAGGACGAAGACGAAAGCCCAGCAGAGGAGCGAGGAAGAGGAAGGACAGGAGGAAAAAGCGGGAGCCCCCAGGGCCTCGGGCACATCCCGGGGGGGGGGGGGAAAGGGGGGTGGTTGCAGCCCCCATGTCCCCATGCCGGGGCTCCGACATCGCATTCCAGCCGCGCTGCAGCCGGAGGGAGGCACGTGCGGCCGCGCCGGGGAAATACCGGGCATTGCTGGCATTGCAGCCCCGGCCGCGGCCCCCTCCCCTTCCCCATCACCCCCCCCCCCCCCCCCCCCCCCACCGCCATCAGCACAGCGGATCCCACCCGCGGGCACCGACTGCGGGACCGTCCGCACCGCACAGCACCGCGATCCTCCGCGCAACATCAGCGCTCCGGTGCCCCGCACGTCCCCCTCCCTCCCCCCCCCTGCATCCCGCAGGGCCGATGTGCCACGTCCTTATCCCAGACAGCCCCGCGGGGGGGGCAGGTTGAACGGGCCGGGTGGCAGCTGAGCCCTCAGGTCCCGTCTGCTCCACAAACCCTCCCCCCCGGAGCGTCTGTGCCAACATCCCCGGGTGAAATTGGGGCACGGAGATGTGGGGCACGCATCCCTATCGCTTCCTCTCCCCGCCCCGGGCCATCCTCAGGGCTCCCGGTGCTGTGCCAGGGGTCTCCCTTGGTTGTTCCCCCCCCCTCCTCCCCCCACGGGGACAGCTCAGCGTGTCCCAACAGGCAGAGCCGGCCTCCAGCTGTCGGTGCCAGCAGCCGGGGAGGGGGGGTGGCTTTGCTATCCAACCACCCGCTGGAACCAGGTGAAGTGAGGCTGGGGGCTGCCCGCACACACTGCACCCCCTCCCAGAGGGCAGCCAGAGCCCAACACACCGGGGCACTCGATGTGGAGCACCGTGAGGGCCCCCAGCTCTCATGCACGGCCCCATTTGGAGCTGTGCTCCCCGTGGGGGGGGGGGGGGGGTCTGCTCCCCCCTATGCACATCAGCACCAGAGAAGCACCGTGGCAGGGGGAGAAAGGGGGAGACAGCTCAGATCCAGCGCCTTCACCGGTAGTGCAGAGCACGTGGGAAAGGACAGAGGGGGGGTGATGGGGGGGGGGGGGGGGTCTGCTTGCCCCAGGCTGAGTGCAGGATGGGCCCCAGTATTGTTCCTGCAGCCCAAACTGGGAAAGGTCAGGCGGCGTTCGCGGGGGCAGATTCCACCCCGAGGAATGCGAGCGCGCCTGGACGCCTTCCAACATACTTGGTGTTTTGCACAGGAGCGTCCTAAATATACAGCAGAGCGGGAGCAGGGGGGGATGCAGCGTGTGCTCCCGGCGTGCACTGCCAGCATCGTGCACTGCTGCCACCCTGCACTGCTTCCGTGCACCACCAGCACTGCGCACCATGCAGCATCACCTGCACCATGCACCTCTGGCACCATGCACTGCTGCCATGCATCACCTGCACCATGCACCTCTGGCACCACGCACTGCTGCCATGCATCTCCTGCACCATGCACCTCTGGCACCACGCACTGCTGCCATGCATCACCTGCACCATGCACCTCTGGCACCACGCACTGCTGCCATGCATCTCCTGCACCATGCACCTCTGGCACCACGCACTGCTGCCATGCATCTCCTGCACCATGCACCTCTGGCACCACGCACTGCTGCCATGCATCACCTGCACCATGCACCTCTGGCACCACGCACTGCTGCCATGCATCTCCTGCACCATGCACCTCTGGCACCATGCACTGCTGCCATGCATCTCCTGCAGAATGCACCTCTGGCACCACGCACTGCTGCCATGCACCAGCACACCCACTGAGAACCCTCAGCCTCAGAGCAGTAGGGAATGGAGGATCAGGTTGAGCTGCGGGGAAACTGAGGCACGGGGAGCACAGCACCCAGTGGGTGACCCCCCCCCAACCCTGCCCACATCCCAGCTGTGGGAATACGTGAACCCTTGGCACAGACAAAAGGATAACGTCACACCAACGGGGCACAGAGGGACAGAGGGGCAGCCAGCTGCCACCGCCACCATGCGCTGCGTCCCCCTGCACCGAGGGCTGGGGGGGAGAGGGCAAACACAAATCCCTCCTGAAGGAGGAATCTCCCTTGAGCCGAGATTAGGGTCAGAAAAATGAGGTTCTAATAGGATTTTCAGGGAAGAGAAAGCTGCGTCGAGGCAACAGCTGATTTTCAGCCCTTATATGGCAGCGTCTCATGGCTCCCACCTGCGCTGGGGCCACGGGGATGGGGGGATATGGGGTCCAGGTCACCCCATGGCGCAGGTGATGCAGCCAGGGGAACGCAGGGATGTTCCATGGGGTTGGAGGATGGGGGGGATGTGGACAGAGGGACCGGGATGGGAGCACAGTGGCTGAGAGTGGTCACTGCATCCAGATTAACGCCCACAGGAGAAAGTCCTCAGATCCTCTTTAACCCAACCTGAGGCTGACGGCTCAGTGGGGATTTGGGAGCCCCAGGACGCCCCTTCCCCACGCAGCCACTGTTGGCACAGGACCCCACGGACAGCTTTGCAGGTTGATGTGTGGCTTCATCCCCACATCCCAAAGCTGCTCCTTTTCACACCCGTACCCAAACACCAACATCAGAACCCCCCTCCCCTCCTCCTGCACCTCCCATCCCAGCCCTGAGGCCCAGCAGGGCAGTTCTGGGCTCTCCGCTGCCCCTCCTGCCGTGCTCTGGGTGTGAACACAGGGAAGGAAATCCTTGCAGTTCCTCCCCAGCACCGCCTTCCATCACGGCAGCATCGCCTCCACAGCCCCGTGCTGCCGGCTCTGCCCTGCAGCGTGGTCACAACGAGTCCAGCTCAACCCATGAGAAGCCTGGGGATGGGGGGGGGGCACAGCAAGGCCCACTTCCCACCTCCCAAACTCCCCGTTAAAGCTGGGGACTGAAATCCATGGCGCAGCAGGGAGGGCCCCAGAGCCTTCATCCCCTCCTCATTCTCTGCCCCACATCCTAACGGCGGCGTTATCTGCAGCAAAGCCCTAGAAAAGTAACGCGATTCTGCTTCCTGTTTTTCCCCGTGGAAACCCTCAAATAGAAGCTGGCCTCAACGGCTGCGATTTTTTCGGGTCTCTTTCTTGTTGTTTTTTTTTTTCTCTTTCGGCGTTGTTAACAATGAGCCGTTTCCTGCGGCGGCTCCGGGGGCACCGGCGGCACTTCCAGCCCTGCCCCATAGCGGGTGGGGGCCGAGGGGGGTGGTCACGTCCCTGTAGCACTCGCAGCTCCATAGGGGACCCCATGGCACTGGGCTGGGTATTGCAGGGGGACGCAGCTCGGCGATAGGGGGGGGGGGGGGGTGAGAACTGTGGGGTTGGGGGTCCTGGGAGAGAACAACCGGAGGAGACACACAGGGCAAAGGCCGGCTCCTGCCCCTCGTGTTCGTCGCTAAAAAAGGGGCATTATTTGGAATTTTGGAGCCTCTGCAAAACAGGGCTGCAGTGAGGACTGGAGGGAGGCAGTGCTGGTGATGCAGCTTTGGGGATGCAGCTTTGGGGACCTGTGGCACCGGGGCCCGGTTTCCCATCACCCCACACACATCTGTGAGCACCACCTCCCGCACGCCCCCCCCCCCCCTCCACGTCGCCCCCCCTCCCCTTCCCCCCCCGCCCCGGCCCCATCCCGCCCCGCTGCTGCCCACCCCCCGCCGGGGACATCGCTGCCCACCGCTGGCATCACACCAGTCAGCACCGGCAGGGACCACGCTTCACCCCAAAGCGCTGGCACAGCAGCCCCCCACCCCCCCCCGCTCCCCCCCCCTTCCACACGCCGCGGCTCAATAGCCCACTATGTGCCACAATAGCGCGATTGTCCCCCTGCTCCACCGGCCTCCCTCCCACCCACCCTCGTGGGCCGCCCCACGCGCTCGCTCCCATCAACGGCCCCACTGTTTATCGCCGCCCTACGGCCCACACCTGCGCCCCGGGACGCGCCCCATAGCGGCGGTTCCCTCCCAACCCTCGGGGCTCAGGGCAGGCGATGAGCACGGAGATCCGCCGGGACGGATGGGAACCGCCGGCGGCTGCGGCACCGCGGGGCAACGGGACCGCGCCGGTGGGAGCGCGGCCGGAACGCGGCGCCGGCACCCGGCTTTGCCCCCCCCCGGCATTGCCGGATCGCTGCCCGCCGTCACCGCCAGCCTTCGGTTTGGGCCACTTTCTGGTGACTCACGCGTCGGGTTTCCACCCCTCTCCCCCCCCTCCCGGCTCGCTCTGCCGCTCGCATTTTCCCTTTGCTCAGCCCTTCGAGAGGACGTGGCCGCCTCAAAAAACGCACCGACCCCACATCCAGCAACCAAACCGCCGCCGGGATGGGGAGCTCAGGGACGGGCACGGCCCCAAACGGCCCTCCGGACCCCACAGCAACGACCCCCAGAATCCCCCCAGCACCTCAGCTGGAGGTGTTACGATTAAGGAGACTTAAAGAATTCGTTGGGGACCGGCACCCATGGCAAAGGAGCTGGGAGCAGCAGGGGGCAGCGCACGCAGAGGGAAGCCGGGCGGGTTGGAGCGGCCGCCGCAGGCAGAGGGGTCGATAGTTTCCAACTTGAGTGCTTAAAATAGGTCATCTATCTCTGCTCCTTTAAAACCAGGTCTTGCCGCCTGCCAAAGACAAACTTGGTTTATTAATGGGACGGCACCGGCTTGAAACCTAATCTTGCTTGCTTGGTTGTTTTCCTTTTTTTCCCTTCCCACGAGAACGGGGCGACCCAGCAGCTCCCCACGGCCACCCCACATCGCGCACCCTTCGCTCCACCCCCATCCCCATCCCCTCTCCACGTTCAGAGCCGTGTGCTGCCCCATAGCTGCACCGTGGGGCCGCTCCACGAACCCTCAGCGAGCAAAACCCCATCGGCTCATCCACCCTCAGCTTTCCCATCGCGTTTGGTGCTGCAAACAACGACATCGACCCTTTGGGGACACTCCAAGTCACTCAGGTGTCACCCTGTGGGGTTGGGGAGGGGGGGGGGGGGGTCCCGCAATGCCCAGGACCCCGCTGAGCCCAGCGCCGCACCCCGACCTCGCTGCCAAGTTTGGTGCTTGCCAGGCAGCGTGGCGGCCCCGAGCACACGCTTTTCCTGTCTTTCAAGTTCAGGGTTCAGAAAGAAGGGGGGGGGGGGGAAGAAATACCAGCAAGCGTGAAGAAACCAGCAGTGCCTGTAAATGGGGACAGAGGCAGCAGCTCTGCTGGGCTGACATTGAGGAAAGGATTTTGTCCAGAGGGGCTGCGTGGCGATGGGGGGGCAAAGCAGAGTCGGTCCTGTGCCCCCCCCCCCCCCCCCCCCAGATCCCCAGCCACGTCGGGGGGGGCAACAGTGGAACAGCTCACACTGAGTTCACCCTGCATCCCAGCGTCACTGCGCTCCATTGCTGCCGGCCCTGCTGCCCCCCAGGAGGGCACAGTTTAGCCCCAAATGCTGCAGAAGGAGACATCAGATCCCAACACCCCCCTCACCCCAAATCCCAACCCCAACGCTCAGCCCCACGGAGTCAGCGCGGAGGAATCCGAAGGGAAACCGCGATTCACGCCCAGGCGCTGAGAGGAGCAGCTCTGCTCGTTTCTGAGACGTTTCGCACGGCAATTAATCCTCCGAGGGCGGTCATTACCCCACTGCGGGGCCGGGGACGCCGAGTCCCGACACCCAGGAACGGAAGGATGGAGCCGAACGCAGCTCTGGGTCAGAACGCGCGGTCGCAGCCGCTGCTGTGCCGATGGACCGACGCTGCCGACCCCCGCCCGGCCTCCCCTCCCCTCCCCCCCCCCCCCCACGGCGGTGTCCCCATCTTCGTCCCCACCCCACGGCCGTCCCGTCCGTCCCCACCCGCAGCACGCTGTAAGGGCGCGGGGGGGTGATGCCGTGCCCCCCTCACAGCCCGGACCCGGTGCCACGGTCCGGCCGATTCCGTGAGCTCTCGGGGTCAGCATCGCCCACGGGGCCGCCGCCCGGCCCCTCTCCCTGTCCCCGTTTCCCCCTTCCCCCCCCCCCATCCGGGGGGCATCGCCCCGCTCTGCTCACCGCGGGCGGTGGGATCCCGACCAGGCAGAAAGCGATGCCATTCATCGGGCTGCGGGGCCCGGCACGGTTCGACCCGGTTCCGCACGGCTCGGCTCGGCGCGGCCCGGCACCGCTCGGCTCGGCTCGGGCTGGGCCGGGCACGGCCCCGGTTACTGCTCCGCCTCCTCCGGGTGCCGGCGGCGGGAGGGGGCGGGCGGGGCGGGCACGGCTCAGCCCTCCCCGGCGGCACGGCACAGCTCGGTTCGGTACAGCACGGCTCCGAGTAACCAGAGCCCATCCGGTACCGGAATGGGACACCCAGACCAGAACCGGCGGCAGAACGGGCACAGAAGGGGACATGGGGGGCTGGGGAGGGGGGGGAAGGAGACACCCAGAGATGGGGATGGGGGTCAGCGGGGGTCAGAGGGACAGAGCAGAACGCAGCAGTGCACAGCAGGAGCGGGCAGGGGGATGCTGGGACAGCAAGAGGGGGACAGACGGACGGGGGGACGCGGGAAGGGAGGGACATAGGGATGAGAAGGGGACAGACGGACAGGGAGCGCCAGGACAGAGGGACAGGGCTGGAACAGCCCGGCACGGGGATGGAAACACCGGGCGGGGGCCACGGAGGGACAAAGGGTGACGCAGAGCTACGGGGAAAGGAAACGGCGAGGCTGGGAAACGATGGGACGGACAGCCGGATGGGGCAGACAGACGGACAGGGCCTGGTGAGGCTCAGAGCACACGGAGAGCGTGGCAACTCGCAGCTCGTGGAGCCCCACGCCTCACCTCGGGGTGCTGATGGGTGCTGCGTGCCGTGGGGACCCGCTGCCCTGCACCCAGAGACACCAGAAAGGCCTCTTTGGGGTGGGGGAAGGAGAGGGGGGGGGGGGAACATAAAATAATTTCTTCCCCGTGGGGGAGGGAAGCAGAGCAGCTCCTGGGTCCTCATCGACTCTCGGGGCAGCGGAGCCGTTTGAGATGGGAACGAGAGGGGTGGGGAGGAGAGCAACCAAGGGCTGCTCTGTGTGCCACCCCCAGCGCTCCCTGACCCCTCCCCAGCACCACCCCCCCTTCCGCCCCCCCCCCAGCACATGACACCATCGAAATCCGTACCAACAGCGCTTCCGTGGGGAGAAACCAAACCACCACTGCCAGAACTGATGGCCACAGAACCCCGAGATGGGGGGGGGGAACTGCTGCCACCCCCAGAACCTTCGGGGGGGGGGTTGTGGGACCCCCCAGCAGGGTCAGTCCCTATCCCAGGGATGGAGGATGACCCCCCCCTATGGTCAGTTTGCAGAGATACCCCTGGAGCCCCCCCCTCCTTGATCTGGGCACCCCCCGACCCCACTGCAGCCATCCTATGTGAATCAGTGGGATCAGCCCCCACCCCTCACTCAACACCACCCATCTCGGGTGTCCTTTGCAAAATGGGGTCACAACGTGCTGCAACCTCCACCACCACCCCCCCCCCAGTGGTTCCCAGGACAGAGAAGCAACAAGTGGGGGGGGGTCGCAAACCCCAGCGCTTCTCCTGGCCCAGATTTCCCACGTGGGGTCTCCAAGCACAGAGGTGGCACCGCACACCCAGCCGTGTCCATCATCCCCCCCCCTCTCCCCCCCCAGCACTCTTTGTCTCTCCCGGCCCCACCCTGGCACCGTACAGAGGAGGGGATGGCGGCCCCCATCCATAAAGATACGCCCCCAAATCCCCCCTCCCGGCCCCAAACATCGCCACGACGGCATCAACAAGGCGCCCCCCCCCCCCTCCCCTTCCCCGTGCCCCTAATCCCGACCCCACCCGCAGCAGCAGCAGCTGGAGCTCTGAGCACTGCGCTGCGACCCCCGGCACTGAACCCCCCCCCCCCCCCCCCAGCCAGGGGCGGCCGCTCCCCTCGGAGCCGCTCACAGACAAAGGGAACGAGGGGGGGGGGGGGGAGGGAGGAATCGAGGCTGGGCGTTATTATTATTATTATATTTAAACCTGATCCATTGAATTACAAAGAAAAGGAACCGGTGGGCAGGGAGTTGGGGGGGGGAAATGGGGGGGGGGGTCATCTTGCGGAGCTGTGCCCACGGGGTTGGGGACGCGACCCCACGCTGCCGTGCGGGGGGGGGCTCCGGGGGCCGCTGCCCATCAACAGAAAGCAGCCCCTCTCCTCCCCAACCCCGCGGCTCCGCGGCACGGAGCCATTTTGAGGCAGCAGCCGAACGGCGGAGGGGCGACCACCACCCCTACAGCCCCCCCTCGGGAAATGAGAGCGGGGGCCATCGGGCCGAGCCCACCGCGGCCGTGGGGGGGGGGAGCAATGTGGGGCAGCGCGGACACCCCCTCGGCAGGGAGGGGTCCCTCAGGATGCCCCGGCAGCTTCTGGCCGCGTCCCCACGCTGTCCCCACTGCCACCCCACCCCATCCCTCGCTGCCCATCGCCGCTCCGATGGGGCGGAGGGGGGGCACGCTGCTGTTCGGCAGCTCCTCTGCATTGCAGCTGGAGATGCGCGGCGGGGGGGTGGGGGGGGCGGCTCCGGTGCCCGCAGCCCCCGGAAGGGGATCACGCACAGACCCCGCGTTGGCCGTCGCTGCCCTACTTGGGAGAGGGGGGGGGGCCGGTGGCACCCAGCCACGCCACGCACGTGCCCGCATGCATCCCCGCCTCTGCTGATCGCGGGCTGCGGGGGGAGGAAGGCGGGGGGGCGTCGCAGCACGCGGCCCCCAACGTGCAACAAAAGCGCGCGGCGCAGTGGGGATGCGGTGCGTGAAGCCCCGGGGGCTGGGGGGGGACGACAAGGGGCGGAGGGGGGGCACAGGGGGTCAGAGCCAGAGGAGGCGCGGCAGTGGGGGAGGGAGTGCAGGGTGGGTTGTAAACCCCCTCCCCCCCCCCCCATCCCGAGGCTGGGACGGCAGCATCCCCCCCCCCCCGGAACCACAGCGCGGGGAGCCGCGAGCAGCCGCACACGGGAACCGCAACGGAACGGCGCCCAGAGGCGTTGGCTGGGAGATAACAACGGGAGCAGATGTGGAAACGCCAACAGCCGCAGCTCCATAAGGACCCCCCCCCCCCTTCCTCCCCCTCCCAACTCCAGGCTTCTTCCGCACCCCACAGGGGACATCCCAGGGCGGACCCCTTCCCCAAACCCCGCTGCTCGCATCCTCCCACCCCACACATACCTGGAGCAAAGGGAACCCTGTTGCAGAGCGGGACCGACCCCGCAGCCCCCATCCATCCCTCGCAGCCCCCATCCATCCCCATCACGCGAGGGGCGCTGACCCACCCCGACACCTGGAGCCCACGCGTGGGGCCGGGCGCTGCCGGGGAAGCGATGCTGTCAGTGGGGCCGGGACGCGGGCTGCTTGAGGAGGGGGGGTCCTGAGCACAGCCGGTGGGAGTGCCGAGGAAGCGATGCTGTGGGGCAGCGGTCGGACGAAAGCGACCCGGTCCCGGTTCCGGTCCGGCCCCGGGGTGCGGCTCCGCCCCGCCCGGCCCCGCCCCGTCCCGCCTCGCCCCGTCCGGTCCGTCCCGCTCCCACCTGCTCCATAGGGCCGCTCCGGGGCCATGGGCCGCTACCGGTGCCGCTCCCGGAGCCGCCGCCGCTGTCGCTCTCCTCCGCCGCCGCTGCCCACGCCCGGCGCCGCCCGGCGCATCCCGGGAGCGGCGTCATCTGAGCGGCGGGAGGGGGCCCCGCCCGGCCCCACCCGGAGCCCCGCACCGCCCCCCCGTCCTCCTTCCCGCATCCCCGCTGCTGCCCCCCCTCCATGCCTCCCTCGGCCGCGCATCCATCCTCCCCCGCCCCTCCTCGCACCCACCGCACCGCCCGGTGTCCTTCCTCCCACCTCTCCATCGCATCTCCCATCTCCTCCTCATCCTCCATCCCTTCTCTCCATCCCTTCTCGTGCCCCATGCAAAATTCGGCCCTTCCATTTCCCCTCCATCCTTCCTTCTGCCCATCCACAACGGTCCATTCCAACTAATCATCCCACCCCCATCGTAGCCCACTCCATCCCATCATCCCATCCTAATTTCTTCCCATCCCATCCCATGTCATCCATTCCATTCCATTCCATCCCATCCCATCCATCCCATTCCATTCCATTCCATCCCATCCCATCCATCCCATCCATCCCATCCCATCCCATCCCATCCCATCCCATCCCATCCCACTCCTTCCCATCCCATCCCATCCCATCCCATCCCATCCCATCCCATCCCATCCCATCCCACTCCTTCCCATCCCATCCCATCCCATCCCATCCCATCCCATCCTACTCCTTCCCATCCCATCCCATCCCATCCCATCCCATCCCATCCCATCCCATCCCATCCCATCCCATCCCACTCCTTCCCATCCCATCCCATCCCATCCCATCCCATCCCATTCCATCCCATCCCATCCATGCCATCCCATCCCATCCCATCCCATCCCATCCCATCCCATCCCATCCCATCCCATCCCATCCCATCCCATCCCATGCCATCCCATCCCATCACTCCCCTCCCCACCACCCCTTCACCCACATACCCCTTTCACCCTCCCCATCCCCATCCTCTCCCTTTCCTTCTGCACGGCCCCACGTCGTGCCTCAGTTTCCCTTTGCACGGCACAATGCAGCCTCAAGTCACCCCACAGCCACCCCATCCCCATGGATTGGGTGAGCACCAGGGTGGGCCCATCACCCCCAGCCCCCACCCCTCCCCATGTGGACCTCTGGTCCCCCCCCTCTGGAGACATCCATGGGCCCAACTGCACTCAGTGGGGTCGTGGCCCCATATCTGAGACGTTCCCTCATATGGTTCCAAAGCCCTTCTGCCCCACAGGGGAAATGGTGGTGCCTAATGGGGGCACCCAGCCCCAAACTGGGGAGGGGGGGGAAATCTGCACAGCCCCATAGCACGCCTTGATTTCCCATCGCACAGCCCCATAGCGCATCCCAATGTCCCTCTGTACGGCCCCACACTGCCTCAGTTTCCCCCCTCCCTTTCCCCTCCCCCCAGAGAAAACAGAATGTCCCCCCTTCCCCCTCCCATCTTTAGGGCAGAGCCGCTCGAGGCAGTGCCGGACTACGGGGGGTCGGTTGGGGACCCCCCCCCATCAGAGGGGCCGAGATGGGGAGGGGCGTTGGGGGAGGAAAAGCTCCTTTTGTGCGGGGGCTGCTTTTCAGATGCAAATAAACGGAGCGCCGCAGCCATATTGGGGCTCCTCCGTGGGGGGGGGGGCGGCAGCGGGCGGACAAAGGCGCTCTATGCCACCCCCCCCCCCCCCCCAAAAGGGGTTTTCCCCGTTTTCGGCCCCCCCCCCATCTCCTTCCGTTCCCGCTCCGGATTATTGGGGGGGGGGGGGGGGGGAAATGGAGCGTGTCAGAAGCCCGAGGGGGGGGGGGGGGGGGTTGGTTGGGGGGCGGTACTGCGGGAAAAGGGGGGGGGGGGGGGTGAGAGGGGGGCGGTGCCGCTCATCCCGGCCCCATTCTGTCGCTCCCCGCTTTGATCTGCAGAGCCGGGGGCGATCAAAGCGCTACAGGAGCGGCGGGGGGGGGGGGCAGGAATAGGGACCCCCACCCTCGGGATCCCCCGACCCACGTGAACCCCCCCCCCCTCCCATCTCTCTCGTCACCCGAATCCTCCCCGCCCCACGGACCACCCCTCCCCATCACCCCCCCCTTCCATCCCTCAGACCCCATGAATCCCCCCCATCCTCTGGGACCCCCCTCACGACCTTCAGTCCTTAACCCCTTCCCCCACAAAGACCCTCACCCCTTAGGACCCCCCTCCTCTCTTCAGGACCCCACCCCACCTCCCCACAAAGCCCATCGCTCCTTAGCCCCCCCCCCCCCCCGGGACCCCCTGATCCCCACCCTTCAGGCCCCCCCCCCAATTCAGCCTCCTTAGCACCCCCCCCCCACCAGGATCCCCCTCCCCGAACCCTTTACCCCCCCCCCCAAACTCAGCCCCCACAACAGCACCATTTCCATCACTTTATTCCAAACCCCCAGACTCTCTCCCCTTCCCCCCCCCCCCCAAAAAAAAAAACCCAACAAAAAATCCATCTGTCAAACGACAATAAAAAGGAATTACAAACACAAACCTCAACCCCCCCCCCCCAATAACAACATACAAAAGAACTGCACACAGCTGCCCCAAAAACCCACAGCATCACTCACCTCCCCCCCCTCCACCCCCCTCAAACATGCCTATGAATACAATATATACAGACAGGACCCCCCCTGGTACAGCCCCCCCCTCCCCAAAATAACCAAACGCACCCACAGTGCATTTGTTGCATTATAACAAGAAGAAAAAAAAAAATACCACCCCCAACCCCATCATTTCTCCATCCGACAGAGGGGCCCCCAAGGCTGCTTGGGTTTCTCTTTCCTTCTTTTTTACTTTTTACCCATTTAAGTAATTATTTTTTTTTTTTCTTTAATATACTTTACGAAAATAAATTATACGGTGACTATTTTAATAAATTAAGCACACACACACACAAAAAAAAAACAACCATAAAAATAAAACAGAAGGGAATGAGGCAAAGCTGCCCTCCTCTGGCTCAGCCCTCCTCCCCCAAAGCTGCTGCCTATGGGGGCTCCCAACAGGAGACACCCCCCCCCCTCCCCACAGCAGTGCAGAGCTATGGGGCCCCCAGCACAGCGTGGGGTGAAAATGACTCTTTGTCCTTCTTTCTGCCCCCAAAAGCAGCTCAGTGCATCCCACGATGAGCTGCAGCGTGGAAGGGGGGTGCAGAGGAGCAGCAGCAGCCCTCAGCCTCAACGCCCCCCCAGCACAGCGCCCAGCAGGCAGTGAGGTATTTCAGCAGGTTTTCAAGATCCTTGGGGGTCACCTGGAAGCCAAATCCTTTTTAAATCCCCCCCCCCCCTTCCCCCACGTTGAAGATGGGGGGAGAGCGATGCTGAGCCCCCTTTGCAGCAGCGCTTGGAGCAGGGGCGCAACGGGGCGGCTTCTCAATGCTGCTCTGAGAGGCACGGGGCTGTGCTGCATCCCAGGGTGGAGTTGATGCCATTGGGGGGGGGGATGGAAAGGAGGGGGGGGGGAGCTGATCCTGGCCCCATGCAGCTCTCTGCCTGCACCCCAACCCCAACAGAAAAGCAATGGGGTCGATCCCACGCCGCGCTCGCAGCTCATCTCCCCCTTGAAAGCTTCCCAAGGAAGCTGATGATGAAGAACTCGGTTAATTTCTGAAAATAAACCAAAAAAAAAAAAAAAACCCCAAAACCTGAAGATGTCAAAAAAAAAAATAAATAAAATAAACCTTTTTGTTTTAAAAGTCCTCCATAGTGCCATGACATTCTTTGTTCTGCACGCAGTCCGTGGGGCTCTGCTCACAGCCCCCCCCCCCCCCCCATCGTGGGGGTCCCCTCCTGCTCTGCTTGGTGGCTGGGAACTGTGGGACCCTTCTTCTCTCCTCCAAAGCGGTGCTGCAGAAGCTGCACCTTCGTGGGCCTCATCCCCCCCACTGCAGCCAGACCTGGGGGGACCGGATGGCATCACCAAATTCCTGGGGGGGTCGTGGGGGAGAAAAGAGATGAGGAAGGGATCAGTCAATGCTGTGCCATGAGAGAGCAGCAGAAAGCAACGGAGCCTCAGTGCCCGATCCCAACCCCGAGGGGAAGCGGCGCGAAGGGCAAAGCAGCCCCCCTTTATTTTTGGGGGGGGGGGGGGGGGGGGGGGCAGCACGACGTACCATCAGCGACGGCAAGGAGGGCGAGGCGGCCTCGCTACGTGGAGGATTCAGCATCCTGCTTCTGTCTGGAGATGAGCTGAGCCTCCTTCAAGGACAGGTAAACCTCCTCCTGCGGGTCGTAGTAGTAGAACTTGCGGATGTAGGAGATGAGGGGCCTGAGGGGGGGGGTTTCAAGGGGGGATGGGGGAGGAGAGCATCAGCTGTAGGAGAACCAGAACCGCTCCCCCCCCCCCCCCATGGCAGCACCTCAGTGCTCAGCTGTGCCTCCCTCCTGCCACCCCCAAAAGGAAGCAGCTTTACCCCCTCCCAGCTGAGAGCTGTGTGCTCTGCCCGACCCCAGCGAGGGGGGGGGAGGCAGCAGGATCCAACCCCAACCCCCCCCAGACCCACAGCTCCATGCTGGCTTACTTAGGCAGCGGCAGCTCAGGGATGTGGTCGATCCGGACCAACTGCCTGATCCGAAAACGGCAAAGGTGCTGGAGAGATTTGACATTGCTGAACCTGGAGACGGGATACAGGAGCTGGACAGGCGTCGGAGGGAGACCTTGAGGGGGTTAAAACCACAAAAAGCAGCGTCGGCCTTTCAGCGTCTTGCAAAGGAAGCAGCAGTTGCAGGGCAGGGCTCCGTGCCACCTCCCCCCCCCCCACCAAAGCATCACTTTGCACTGAGGTGCAACAGGCTTCAGAAGGAAGCAGAGCGAAGCCAAAGGGAGAGGGGGCAGGGGCTGCAGGCAGCACTTATGCTCTGCTCTGCTCTGCACAGCCCCTGGAAGGGCTGCGTTGAGGCATTACGAAGCTGTGGGTTCGGTCAGCACGAGAGCTGCTCATTCCTGAGGTCACGAGGCCGGGCACAAAGGCAGAGCAGAGCTGTGCCAGCCCCCATCCCCCACGCAGGAGTTGTGCCCTCCCCCCCGACTTATGGGCAACAATTGAGCCCCACAGCCCGGAGGTGGGCAGCAGCAGCAGGAAGGATGTCTGGGAGCTGGGCTCATTCACTGCACGAGGTTGATCCACCTTCACAGAAGGATTCAAAGCCGGTTAACGCTCCTGCCCCCTCCTGCTGGCTTGTCTCTGAGGACCAGGGAGCAAAAGGAGAAAAGGGAAAGCTCTTCACACTAAGATGGGCTCAGAACCGCTGCGGGCAGCTCAGGATGCTGCGAGCCAGCTTTTGAGAAAGCAAAGAACAGCCGTCAATTGAAGGCTGGATTCCTCCCCCCCCCCCTCCTTCTGACTCTCCTACCAGAAAGGAATCTGCCTCTGGGAGCTCAGCCAGCACAGCAGGGACACAGCATAGGGAATACAGGGAACATCCCCTCCTCGAGCAGCAGCACCGCACTCAGGGCTCAACAGGGAGCTGCAGAGCTCAGCACCAACCCCCCCAGGGAAGATCTGGCAGCAGTGTGGGGCATTACACCCTAGGGTGGCTCTCAGAATGGCACCCAGAGCAAATCTGCTCAGGGATGCACCCAGAGCTCCCACAGAGCCCCATTTTCAAGGGAACAGATCCTAAGATGCCTCCCAGCCCCTCTCCAAGCTCTGCTCTCTGTCTCAAGCACAGGATGCTCCTGGCACGCTGCCGTCTGTACCCACAGCAGGAGCTGCCCCTCGGCCCTGTTGGGATGCTCACCTGGAACCCTGGATCGGAGGAAGTACAGAAACTTCCCGTTTTTGGAGTGCATGATGGCTCTCTTGATGAACTCCACCACAGATTGGCAGCGGTCTTCAAACTTGGGATGGCACCACAGGCTGAAGGTCCCTGCCAACAGGACACAGGAGTCTCACATCACCAGGGAGCTGCTGCTGGCTGCAGGAGATCCACACTCGGCCGTAGGCTGGGTGGCAGCTCCCAGTCAGCTCTGCAGCCTCAAACAGGGCACGTTCAGCTTCAATGGCAAGCAATGAGACTGCAGAGCAGGAAAGCAGGCCCCCTAGCTGCATGCAGATCCCTACATAGGCTGAAGCCTCTGGCCAGACCGTTCTCTTGCATGCAAGCAGGCACTGCCTGCTTCTTGCACCAGGGAGCAGCACTCCCTGCTATGGAGCTGCAGCCAAACCGTAGGTCTCCAGCATCATATTCCTGCCCAGTGGTGTCGTGGATGAGCAAAAACATCCCTGGCTTTGCAGCATGTGGAAGAGGCAGCGCCGCACTCACAGCCAGCAGAAGGGCTGCACTGAGCTCACAGCTCCATCCTGCTTCACTGGGGAAGACCCTCGGGCAGAGCACTGGAGGAACAGGAGAGCCCACTGAGCACTGGGAGCCAGCGAGCTCCGATCTGAAGGGTCTGAAGCATCACCACCTTAGAGGTGGCAAGCAGATGCAATCCCAGCAGGGTCACTGCACAAACACCAGCAGCCTCCCTGGGCTGCCTGCTCAGCTCTCCTATTAAAAAAAGACAAAAATCCCAATTTCTTGCTCGCATCTACCTGAAACCTGAAGGTCGAGCAGTTACCTGTTCACCATTCCCTCAGCCCCCACCGTTTCTCATCCCCATCGGTCCAGCAGAGTGCTCAGCTCTGCAGTTTTCCACTCTGCTGCAGCACACTCAGCACAAGGCCATCGCAGCAGGGCTGAAGCCACTGATGCTGCTCCAGGGATGCAGCTGGAGCAAAGGGAAGGGCGCCTGAGCTCAGAGCACCCCAGAGCCACCCCCAGCCCTCACCTCTGTAGTGCTCCATCCTGGTGTGGTGGGTGATGCCCTGCGATCGGAAGCTGAGGCTCAGGATGTAACGGGGGTCGGAACTGTCCCTCACCAGAAAGGATCCGTCTGGTTTCCCTTTCAGCTTCATCTCTGCGTCCTCCCAGTTCATGGGTCCCCAGTACCACCCGCACTGCAGGAACGAGACAGGCCACGTCGGCAGGCTGCTAGTGAGCAAGGACTGCAGGCACGGCCAATATCCGCTCTCGTTAATTCACTTTTATACCTAAATTTAATTTCCTGCTTCTATTCATCCCAAGCGTGGACTCATTGCTCCTGGATCACAGAATCACAGCATTGTAGGGGTTGGAATGGACCTGCAGAGATCATCGAGTCCAACCCCCCTGCCAAAGCAGGTTCCCTACACCAGGTCACACAGGTCGGCATCCACCGTTGCATTTACCACCCAGAAGTGGGGAAAGAACACGAGATGCCTTCCTTCACTCGCCCAGGACCTCACTGGGGGGTGTTTTCTGGTCCTGCCTCAACTCTGTGCCCCCAGCCAACACCAAAAGCAGCTCCCAGAGGGCTGGAGCAACCTCTCCTGTGGAAAGGCTGAGGGTGTTGGGCTTGTTGGAGAAGGCTCTGGGGAAAACTCACCTCCCAGCACTTACAGGGAGCTTATAAACAGGAGGGAGAGCGACTTCTCACACAGACTGCCAGTGATAGGACAAGGGGGGGATGACTTCCAAGTGAAAGAGGGGAGATTTAGGCCAAATGTGAGGTGGAAATTCAAGACTCTGAGGGTGGCAGGGCTCTGGCTCACGGGCTGCCCAGAGAGCTGTGTGCCCCATCCCTGCAAGTGCCCATAGACCCAGATGGGGCTCCGGGCAGCCTGTATAGGGGTCAAACCCTCTCAACCCAAATCATTCCACTCACTCACAACACGATTCAAAACGCAGAGCCCTGCCCCACTGCCCTTCCCTCCCCACATCTCCCCATGCAGATCCCACCTTCTCCAGCTCTCGCAAGCTGGCTGCAAAGCTGCTGGAGTCCGGGCGGTACAGAGGGCACTGGAGGTGGGGGGTGGGCTGGCTGGGTGCTGCTTCTGTGGGTCGGAGGGGAACGATGCGGGGGAAGGCATCTGCAGAGGGAGGAACAGCACAGTGCAGTCAGTGCTGAGCTGCTCGGGCCCCAGAGCGCTCAGCTCCCAATGCAGCAGGCAGAGGAGGAAGCTGGACTGACAGACAGGAGGACAGCATCCTCGTGAGGTGTCAAACAGCTCTTCCAAGGTGACTCAGCACCTTCACCTGCTGTTTGTTGTGCTAGCTGGGAGGGAAGGGAAAAGCACCAAAGGAAGGAATTAACCCATCCCAACACAAAGGGCCAATTAAAGGTCCTTTGGGTCCTTTAGGGCAGGAAACCAAAGGGGAAGTGCAAAGGAAGCCCCAGAGCTGCTCTGACCTGGGGCGTGGGGCGGAGGAGGCGGAGGCAGAGGGAAAGACTGCAGGGAAGACCCCATCGGACCCACTAGGACAGATGCAGGCAGCGTCCCACTGATATCATCTAGGAGAGAACAGAGGCAAGAGGCATTCAGATGAAAGGAAAGCAAGCGAGCTCTGCGCTGCTGGCAATGAGCAAACTGGCACTGAGCACCGGAGGGGGAGCAGGAGATGGAGCTTGTGATGCTCCACCAGCTTCTGGGAGCAGCCCAGCAGCCTGCACCCTTAAAGCATAGGAGTTAGTTAGTTTTCCAGCCTGGCTACCTCCATGCACGCAGCCTGCAGCACAAGGCAGGTGTTTATAGCAGGTTTTGCCTCCCTGGCACACGCGATGTGCGCTCAGCAGGGCATCCTGAGCACAAAGAGCTCATGGTCCCCAAAGTGTGAAGCACAGCAGGGACCTACTGAAGATGCTGATGCTATGGAGGAGCAGCAAGAAACGCTGTGGGGCAGCAGAGAGAAGCCCTGCACCCAAACAGACCACGTACCCAGCAGGCTGAGGCTTCGGCGCGGAGGCGGCGGTGGAGTCGGGGGGTGAGGGGAGCTCAGTCCTCTCTGAGAGATGTCCACGTCCACCAGAGACACCGTTTCACCTGGAGGATGGCAGAGGGAAAACTGTGAGCACCAGGGGAGGCAGAGGGGCAGGGGAAGGGGCAGCAGATCCCGTCAGCTCTTGGTCAGGTTTTGCATGCAGGTCGGGTGGTTTAAGAGAAATACATCTCAGCCTACAGGCCATGAAGGGATCAACTCTTGACGTTCACAAGGGAGTGGGATAGAGCCTAAAGGCTCTGGAACAGAGCCTGGGGAAAGCAACGATATGAAGACGTCCAAGGTAAAGTGGGAAAGCTTAAGTTTACTCCAAAATCGTGGGAGAAAAAACGAAGCCATCAAACCCCACTTAAAGCCTCAGCATTGCCCCAATAAAGAAGCACTGCCAACAACCAAAGTGCCGCTGCCACAACGGAGGCGTCGGTCAGAATTCAGCCCAACCAGCTGCCAGCCACCAGCAGCACCGAGATCTCTGCACCCACAGCCTCAGAGACCACTTCAACCCCCCCCAGATGTCCTCCAGCAGCAGCAACAGCAGCAGCTCCCCGACCTCCTGCAACCTGCCCTGACACTCAGCATAGGACAGCACTGACTCAGCTTCCTCCTGCCTGTGAAAGCTCTCTGCCCATTAATCAGTATCATTAGAGGGGTATTTAGGTGCAGTCCTTACCCGAGGTGCTTTCCCCCGGGGCTCTGTGGGTGTAGATGCACACGTGTGCATGCAGATGCTCTTTCATTTCCACACCCTGCCAACAGCGTCCAGGTAATGCTGGGCTGCTTCAAAGGAAGCTGAGAGGTGCTGAGGTGCCAGCAGGTGCAGGAACTACAAACCCTACGCTCCCATCTTCCCCCAGCAACAGCTGATAGAGCAGGAGCAGCCCTGGCTTCGAGCAGCCCTGCTGCTCAATGAACACACGTGGCACCCAGGAATCTGCCTGAATCCTGCAGCGCTCAGCACACGTTGCCCTCCAGAAGACCAGAGTGCAGCCCCTTCAAATCCTTACCTGTGAAGAGGGGGCTGAAAACAACCGGGGAAAAGGCACTTTGAGTTCTTGTCAGTCTGTGTTTCCTGTTGGAAATACAAAATAATGGGGGAGGGGGATGAAATCATGAACGGGCTTCATTCGATCTTTTTCGGGCTGGGAGAACCCTCAGCAGGATGCACCCAGCCTGCAGACAGCAGCATGTGCTGATCCAACCCCTGGAGCAGAGCTCTGGTTTAAGTAGGACAGCCAACCAGCAAGGCCAGGGCTCCGTCCTGCTGCTAAGCAAATCTCTGGCAAGGTGATTAATCAAGTCTTAGGAAAGAAAACCCCAAGCAAGTGTGGTTGCTGGAGCCAAGAAGCTGTTTCACAACAGGCAGCGCTGCTGCTCCAAACCCAACTCTGCCGTGTGCCTCAAACACACTGCATGATCACAGGCACTTAGGCAGCACTCTGCTGAACCTGGAGCTGAGGGAACTCATCTCAATATATAAAAGCTCATCCAACTGCTTCCTTTTCAGGTCTCTCGTGCCTGTTTGGGGGTTCAGCTGCTCCCCAGCTCCCAAAGGAGGACGATTCATCGGCGATCAGCCACACGCTCCTCAAAAACAGACTTCAGACCAACACCTGCAGCAGGATGAGAGCTGCCCTCGCCAACCAGAGCCACGCAGCACAACCACAGCCTTCCCACACCACCATTGCACAGAGATGAAGTACCAAACAAGGTCAGGTCGGCCCTCCAACTCAGAAGCCTGGGCTGCTGAGCCGACCGCAGAACCACTGCTAAACCTGCACCAACCCTGGGCTGCAGGTGCAAGAAGAGCAGCCCCACGGATGCAGCTTTCAGAGAGAAGCCTTACGCTGCAGCACGAGGAGCAGCACTGCAGCAGCTCTGAGCTCTTGGGCAGGAGGGCACTCCTGGAAAGCTCTGCCTTTTCTGAGGCCCTGAACCACAACAGCTGCTGCATCAGGCACCTTGAAGTAACCTCTGGTAGAACAGCAGCACTGTGCTGACCGGGGAAAAGCACAGCAGCTCCGTGGCTGTGATGGAGCTGCTGCTGCTTTTGTGCCCCCTGATCTCAGGGCTGCAATGTCCCATAGACCACAGGTTACCATTAGGGACACCCTGATGTTTGGATGGGGCGATGTGGGAGGACTCGCATGGTCTCCGTGCACTGCTGAGCCAAACCACGTGTCCTCTGTGATGCAAGGGATTAGGGCCAGCTGTCGGCAGTGCCAGGCAGTGACTGGTGGCTGTGCCCCTCCACGACAGCTTGGCAGCCCCACACCAGGGGGACACAGTGGCCATGGGGTGCAGAGCTGGAGGGAGCAGCTCAGAACCCAAACCCTAAAGGGGATGAGGTGGGAGGGAACCTTACAGCCCACTCAGTTCCGAGCCACGCCACAGCCTGGGTGCTCCCCAAAGGCTGCCCAGGATCCCATCCACCTGCAGGGATGGAGCACTGCATTTTGCTGAAGCCACAGAGCCCAGCAGCACCGCGCAGAGCTGCGGGATCAGCACCTCCAGCATTCCCAGCTGCGACCCCCAGGGAAGCCCTCTACGCCGCAGGAAGGCGCGCAGACCCCCGTACATCCCTCCAAAAGCCGCTCTCCTGATTTGGCCACGGGGCTCCACGGCCCCTCCCGCACCGCCCGCGCATCCCTGCCCCCCCAGCAGCCCCGAAACCCGCGGTCCCTCCGCTCCGTACCTGCCCTCCTCCTGCCCGCGGCCCCGGGCCCCTCCGCCGTCGCTCAGGCTGTGCGCCGAGGCCGTCAGCTCCGCTCCCCGCCGACTCCCTCCGCTCCCGTCCCCGGGGGCCGACCCTCCGCTGCAGCTCTTGGTGCGGAAGAGGCGGCTCAGGCGGACCCGCAGCGATCCCTTCCTTCCTCCCGCTGCCCCGGGGCCGGGCCCGGCTCTCCGCGCGGCGGAGGCTCCGCGGGGCGGCTCCTGCGGGTCTGCGGCGCCGGGGCTGCCAGGCTCTTCCTCGGAGCAGCTCTCGGCCTCGTCGGGCTCCAGCGCCTCAAGCACCAGCAGCGCGTCGCTCGTCTCCTCGGCGGCGGGCGGCCCGAGACACGGGCAGGCTGCGGGGCCCTTGGTTCCCAGCGTCGGGGGCCGCAGCCCCAGGGCCGCCAGCTGCAGCTCCAGCCCCCCCGGCGGCCCCCAGCCGCCCCCCGCCGCCACCGCCGCCGCTTTGGGCTCCAACGCGCAGCGATGCCGCGGGCACAGCAGCTCGGGGCCGCCCGCCGGGCCTTCCCCGCCGCCCGCCTCCTCCTCTCCGGGCCGGCCCTCGGCAGCGTTACGGAACACCATCAGCTGCGGCGGCGGCCGAGCGGCCCCTCCCGGAGCGGGGAGGGGGAGCGGCAACCGCGCTCCGCCCGGGCCCGGCGGCCCCGCAACCGCCGCGCCGCTACCGGGGCCGCCGGCCGCCCCCGCCTCCGGCCCGGCCCCATAGCCCAGCAGGCGGCTGAGCACCCGGTAGGAAGCCGCGGCCGCCGCCTCCCCGTCGCGCAGCTCGACGCGCTGCATCGCTACGGCCGCCGCATGGCGCCCCGGGAGCGGAGCGGTCCCGCCGCCCCCCGCACGGCCGCCGCCGCCGCTCCCTCCTCCGCGGGCAGACCGCACGTGGCCACGCCCCTCAGCTTCCGGTCTTGGCCACGCCCCTTCACCAGGCTCCAGTCCGCTATCCCCGAGGCCACGCCCATAACGCACATGGCCACGCCCCCTCCATGCACCGCCCATCGTCTGCGAGGCCACGCCTACGCCCTTGAGGCCACGCCCCCTCGGCCGAGTGGGGAAATTGAGGCACGGCGCTGCCGTTCCTGCACCTTCGGTTTCCCCTCTCAGCCAGGAGGGAACCGGACGCCCCCCATCCCGAGCTGCACGCTGCCCTGCGTGCCCCCCCTCCCCACATCCGTCCATGCGTGTTTTGGGGGCACTCGGCATCCTCTGAAGGGGAGAGGGGGAGCAGGATTATGGTATGCTGGGTTCTGGGATACTGGGATAACAGGATGCTGGGATGTTGGGATAACGGGGTGCTGGGGGGATGGGAAGCGGGATGTGAGGATGCTGAGAGCAGAAGTGCCGAGATAATGGGATGCTGAGATAACTGAACACTGGAATAACAGGGTGCTGTGATGCTGGGATAACAGGACGCAGGGATAACGGGACGTGGGGATGCTGGGATGTTGGCATCACGGGTTTCTGGGGTAATGGGGTGCTGAGATGTTGGGATACTGGGATGACAGGGCAGTGGGATGCGGGGATATGGGGTTGTGAGGCTGTGGGGCCGGCACCCGGTTGCCATGGCGGCCCGTCGGGATGCTCTTCCGTCACGGCCGATCCGGCGGAGGGTGGGGGGGAGGTTGAGCTCCCCGCGGCGGAACCGGAGCCCGACGGCAGCACCGGGTGGGGACGGGCGGGGGACGGGGACGGGGGGGTCGGGGCGGTCGGAGCAGCGCAGAGCGCAGCGTGGGGCCGTGACGTCTGCGAAGGAGGAAAACAGGCGGCGGTCGGAGCGCGGCTCGCGGGCACCGTGCCACCATGACCCCCACGGGGGGGCCGCCGCTCTGGGGCGCTCCGGCCGCCTTCCTTCTCCTCCTCTTGCTGCTGCTGCTTCTGCCGCTGCGGGCGGGGGCTCCGCCGCCCCCCGACGACCCCCCGACGGATCCGCGGGGGGACCCGGAGGGTTCCGCGGCTCTTTCCTTCCTGCGGACGGGCGACGCGCGGCGTTTGGCCCTCACCAACTGCAGCCGCAGCGCCGCGCTGAGACCCCCGGGGCCCGACCCCCCACCGGCGCTGCGAGCCGCCCTGCGGGCCGCCCCCGAAGCTCTGACCCAGGCGGCCAATTTCCTCAACATGCTGCTGCAGGGCAACGACCTCCGCGAGGCCAGCGTGGCCGAGGACGTGGAATGGTACCAGGCGTTGACTCGCAGCCTGGCGGGGGGGCATCCATGGGCGCGCCGCTCCCTGCTGGCCCTGGACGCCCACCCGGCTGCCCCCTCCCCCCGCCTGGTGCTGCAAGCCACGGCCGTCGACGGGGAGATCCACCTTCGGGACGTGTCCGCGCCGGGGAACCGCAGCTCGGATGGCGAATGGGTGGCGGAGCTGCGGGAACGGCGCGGTCCTCCGCTCCGCAAACGGGTGCTGAGCAACGACCTGCGCTCCATGGAGACCCCCAAGTGGCGGCGGGGCGATGGGTACGTGGCGGGGCCGGGCCACGTGCGGTGGTCGCAGCCGTTCCTCGAGTGCCGAGATGGGAAATTCGTCCCCGTTTGGGCCGTCGCTCTGTCTGCTGCCTTCTATGGGCTGAAGCCCGACCTCAGCCCCGAGTTCAAGTGAGTGAGAAGGGGGAGTGCGGGAGGGGGGGAGTGTGTTTGTGTGCATGCATTTGTGTTTGCGTGTGTGTGCGTGTTGGGAAGCGTGTTTGTGCAGCTGTGTGCGCGTGTGTGAGTGCATGAATATGTGTGTGCATGCATGTGCATCTTTGGGGGATGCTGGGAGACACACGCGTGTTGCTGTGCATGCACGTGTGTGCAGTGCTGTGCAAGTGTGGATGTGAGACCCTCCCGAGGGGCAGGACCTCCCCAGATGGCTCTGTGTCCCGGCACCCGGCTCTGCCATCGCTGTTTGCTCCCCCTCCAACCCCCCGGTTCCCGTGTGCCCCCTCCCGGTCTGACCCCATCGCGGTTTTGTAGGGGAGCCGTGCGGGTGGACATCGAGCTGCGGGATGTGGGCATCGATCAATGCGACAGCGGGACGGGGTGGTTCGCGGGCACCCACCGCTGCGACCTCAACAGCACCCAGGTACCCAGACCGCACCGATCCCAGCATTAAACCCCCCACTTCCCAGCACCCACCCCCACCTTCTAGAGCCCTGTCGGATCCCCTCACGCAGTGGAGCTGCCCCGCTCCCCCCTCCCCCCGTCGCACCGTCCCAGCTGCCCGTCCGTCGGTGCTGATCCGCCCCCCCCCGGCCCCCATCTGCCGCTCCCGCACCGCTCTGCGGTTTATTGTGCAAATCTCCCTCCCTCGGCAGCGCCGTGGGGTGACCCGGCTGCCACCCGCGTCGGGACAGCGGGGACCGATGGGCGGAGCATCCCCGGGGGGGTTGGCGCTGACCCCCCCCATCAGCTGCGCCCACCCCAACTCAGAGTTCGGGGCGAACCCGACGGGTCTGAGCGGCGTCCCGACCCCCGGAGGTGCCCCCCGTCCCCCCCACCCGCATGGATTAGGGGCCGCTCCGCCCCCCCGGATTAGCAGCGCGCCGCATTAGGTGTCCATTTAGGTTTTAGGGGGGGATTTGGGTGCCAGGCTTTGACTTTTAATTCCCAAATGTTTAACCGCTGCGTTGCGGGGGAGGTGGGGGGGGAATCGGCTGTCACCGAGCCGCCGCAGCCCCCGCTGCCCTGTGTGGTTATGAGCGCAGTGCGGGACGACCCCGCAGAGCAGCCGTACCCCCATCCCGCAGTGCGTCCCGCAGCAGAACCGCGGCTTCGTGTTGGGGCAGTACGCGTGTCGCTGCAAGCCGGGCTTCTACGGGCTCAGCGGCGGGGCAGGTGCGTGCCGTGCGACCCCCAGACCCCCCCCCAAAGACCCGCAGGGCGCACGGGGCGATGCTTTGGGACACCAACCCCCCCCCGTTCCATCCGCAGTGCCGCCTGAGGATGCCGCTCGCTTGGCGTGCCGCCGGTGCCGGGAGGGCTGTGCGAACTGCCGGGACGATGCGCCCTGCGAGGTGCAGGAGGATCGCGCGTTGCGTGCGGCCGTGCTGTGCTGCCAGGCGTGCTGCATGCTGGCCGTGTTCCTCTGCATGCTGCTCGCTTATCACTGCCGGCGGAGCAAGGCGAGAGCAGCGCGGGGTCCTCACGATCCCAACTCCTCGGGCGCCCCCCAAATGAGGGCCGCCCCCCCTCCGGGCCCCGGGCGCTGCTGATGGCCCTCTGTCCCCGCAGAGGATCCGGGCGTCGGGCGTTGTGCTCCTGGAGACGATCCTCTTCGGGTCGCTGCTGCTCTACTTCCCTGTGAGTGCGCGGCCAAATTCCTCCCCTGCTGCCCCCGCTCCTCCCTGCAGAAAGCCCCACAGACCGTGGGATGCACCCTGCTGCCATGGGGCACAGCTGGGTCCCACGGGGCTTTGCCGTGGGTCAGGACTGGCGCCACGCAGGACACAGCACTGTCGGCATTGCCGTCACAGATCTGACAGCTGTGGGCAGAATCTTCTTAGGAAACCAAACCTCCTTCCTCCTCCTCATGGCCGTGGGACCCCCGCCCAAACCCCCTCTGTGTACCAGAGAGCAAAGGCTGGGCTGGGAGCCCGGCCGTCCCCAGGCTGCCACTTGCCTTTCCCCTTTCTCCCCGACACCTCGGGATCTGTGCGCTGAACACGGGCACGGCTCTGCAGCCCCGCACCACCACCACCATCCCCCCCCCCTCCCCACAGGTCTTCATCCTCTACTTCAAGCCCAGCACTTTCCGCTGCATCGCTCTGCGCTGGGTGCGCGTGCTGGGCTTCGCCATCGTGTACGGCACCATCACCCTAAAACTGTACAGGTAATGGGGAACGGGGGGGGGTCCTGCTGGGATGCTGGATGAGGTCCGACCCCACGCTCACCCCCGGTGTCCCGCAGGGTGCTGAGGGCGTTCCTGGTCCGTGCAGCACAACGTGTGTCCTACACGGCCAGCGGGCGCGTGTTGCGGGCTCTGGGGCTGCTGCTGCTGCCCCCGCTGTGGTTTCTGGCAGCGTGGACCGTGGCAGCGTTGGAGAACGTCGGCCGGAACGTCCCGCTGGTGGTCCGTGCGCAGACTGCCCGAGGGCTGCACTTCTCCGTCTGCAGCCACGACCGCTGGGATTACATGATGGTGGTCGGTGAGAGACGGCTGAGCGCCCCCCTCCCCGGGTGCCCGCAGCCCTCCCCGCTGCCCCGCGTACCCACAGAGGTGCCCATGCCGTGTGCTTTGTCCTGCAGCCGAGCTGCTGCTCCTGCTGTGGGGCAGCGCGCTGTGCTGGGCTGCGCGTGCGGTGCCTTCCGCCTTCCACGAGCCGCGCTATATGGGCATCGCGCTGCACAATGAGCTGCTCCTCTCGGCCGCTTTCCACGCCGTCAGGTACGGTGCGGGATGCCCACGTGGCCGCAAAGCATTCCTCTGCACCGTGGGTGTGGGGTTGGAGCTGTGGGACCCCGCGGTGCCTCCTTCCCCCCTCCAGGTTCATCGCGGTGCCGTCGCTGCACCCCGACTGGATGCTGCTGCTCTGCTTCGCCCACACCCACGGCACCGTCACCGTCACCCTGGGGCTGCTTTTTGTCCCCAAGGTAACGCACGGCCCTAAGCCCGCGGCTATGGGGGATGGGGAGGCGGTGGGGTGGTGGCTGTGGGGAGGTGGTGGGTGTGGGATGATGGCTATGGAGATGTGGCCCGTGGGGTGGTGGTGTGGGATGGTGAGCGGTGGGGTGGTGGCTGTGGGGAGATGGGCAGTGGGGAGGTGGGATGTGAGGAGGAGGGCAGTGGGGTGGTGGTTATAAGGTGGTGGCTATGGGGTGGTGGTTATGGGGAGGTGGGCAGGGGGGTGGTGGATATGAGGAGGT